CAATTCCACTTTGAACTTCAGCAGCAACTGAAATCCACGGATTTCCACAGAACCGTTCCCGAGTCCTAACAATTAAGAGATTGATAATTCGGTCCTTTGTTGCGTGAGTGCGTGCGTGCAAAAAGATATATATATACCCATGTGCATGCACACAGCATGGATATGGTATCTGCACCAAAATCTATTCTATAAGGACACGATTGCCTTTTTTTCTCTTTGGTGCTGCCTGGAGTCACCAGTACAGATTCAAGAAATTAAACAGTTCTACATGGCTGCATATAATGCACAGAGCTGGTTGTTTCCCTCTCGAAGCCCACCCACAATTTCATTTTCAATTAGCAGCTCTTGGAAAGGCAGTAATAAAAGCAGTTGCTAAAGAGCACTCACATGTCATTGAAAGACTGCAAACCCAAACTGTAAATAGCACATTGTAAATCGCTTGTCACCACTGTCATCTCTTGCTGGAATCGCACAGCAAGCGACAATCAAACCCATCTGCTCAGCTCCCCCAACCAATGCCACCACAAACTATACAGATACCACCCACCTTCCACTTCTCTCTCATTACCTGTCATGTAGAGGCTTGTACAAGCATGTGCAAAGACCATTATTGACTGCAAGCACAGATTAAAACACAGAGCACAAAATGGTTATTCCATCTTCTGCAACTCAGATTTGTTGCACTACTAAAGGATACAACCATTTCGGCACCAGAAGAAAAACATGATATGATTAAATCCAGAGAACTATTAGCTTCATCAATGAAGAACAAGGAGGAAGGGGTGAGAGGGGCCATACAAGGCAACCCATCAAGCATTTGCATTGTTGACTTTAGGGTCTATGGATAATGGGTGTATGAATCAAGGACATGAGGTACTAATGTCTAAGACATAAAAGGCTTAATATTGTCAGTCTCTAGTCCCCTGTCCTCCTCTTAACTGATCCATGCATCAGCAAACAAGCACCACACAAGGAAATACTTATAATTGCTGGGTACCATCTTTGACAGAGTTTGGATGTCTCTTCCTTTCTCCATTCTCCCTGCCCTCATTCAAGCTCATCTCTGTCCGTCTTTTCATCACTCCTTTTCTTCTTTTTATTCATCACCTGCCACTCCTTTTCTTTTCAGGTCATTTTCTTAAACCTTCCAAAGGTGTGTGGATTGGCACTCAATAAAAAGCCAGGATCAGCATAAGTGGCCCTCACTTAAGCGAGATGGTAATAGTAATAGGCTCTTATATGTTAAGTGAACCAGCTGCTCACCCAGTGTGTTATACCAGGATTACCATTTCAGAAATTCATACAGTGGGTTTCTTTTTGCTGGGGGAAAAAGAACAAAACTAAAAAACCCTCCCTATACACAAGTGTTGAAGAAAATGCTGATTAGGATAATGGAGCTGGGTGGAAGAGCAAGGGGGGAAGGTGGCTTATTCTTTTAGGCCTGTTGTCCACACACCCCTTAACTTGAGAGAGAAAACAATGAGCTTATGCACAAAACTTGGTTGTACACAATTTTCACCAGCAAAATGCTTTATTTGCCAGTACTGCTTAACATAAAAATACTCATCGATATTTAAAAATTATTATTTGTATCCATTTGGAATTGCTTGCTTTTAAAAGGTATTGGGAAAGCTAAAAGAAAATAAATACAAAACACACAACCCACAAAGAAAACTTAAGGAAATTAAACTTAAAAAGGAAGGAAAGAAATATTCTGATGAGTCTTATGTATGCTAAATACCTTCTCAAGTCTCCTTGAGGTGTTTAATAAGTATATTTATAAAAACTCACAAAGCAGAGAGTTCAAAAGTCCTCTCACTAGTAAAATATGAGCTTTAATTAACCTACGGTTTCACATTTTCTGGATTTCAATAAACCTGTAGGCACTACAAATAGCTGGATAAATACCTGCATGAATACTGCAAGGATTTCCTCTGAAAACTAATTAGCAGCCCTTCCAACAGCCGACTTGAACTAAATCTATTTGATGAGAGCGCTTCATACTGTAAATCCTGCATGCAAGAGTTACTTTCAGATAACACATTTCACAGAGAGGCATATCAGACAGAACTGTTAACCACTGGTAAAGCCATGAACATAATCTCCAGGTATAAAACACTTCCCCCCCAACAGGGATGTACTGTAGCCAGGATTTTATTCCAGCCCAGGAGAACAAGTGATGGCATTATGATTATATCATCTTGCAGCAGCAGCAGAACATGCACATCTGTGAATTCAGAATTTCATACTAGAAAAAAGACAAATGAGCTACATTTACATACAAAATGAAGTTGTAATAAAACACAACGATTTCAAGGCAAGTCCCTGCAGTCCTTATGCTTATCCAGGTCCTTACATCTCTGCCAAATTTAAAATTATTGGCCCAATTTCCCTCTTCCTCTGAGCTGATGTTACCATAAATCTATTGACTTCAATGAAGTTACTCCCAATTCAGAGACGAAAGGGTATGAGTCAAAATTTGAATCAATGGGAGACTAATTGTGTGCTAGGAAATGAGGAGTGCTGGCTGGGAAAAATAACAGTAAAGTATGTGATTGTGAAGCTTATCTTGGATGTTAATCTTGCTGGGGTGATCTGACCCCAGCTGACTTCCTGCCCCTTGGGCAGGTGGCTGGACCTGATGATCTTGCAAGGTCCCTTCCAGCCCTAATGTCTATGAAATCTATAAGCACTACAGGGAAGAAGGATATATATATTTTTTTATTACAGGAAAATTGCTTGTGGAAACTTTAATTCTGGTTTCAACAGGATCTTTACTATCTGGGTTAAAAGGAAGGGGAAAAAAGGAGCGAATGCTTGCCATAAATACTGTACATAATAGCTCTGAGTATGTCTTCTCAAATAAGTTTTACAGTCTTTTCCATGACATCTCTTTCTCAGTTTAAGTGCCCGAATTGCTTGGATCTGTCAGCACCTACACCTCTCACGAGACAATGTTTTTACCTAAGGAGATGTACCCAAATCACACTTACTAATTTATATTTGGGAGGGTATTTTATTTCTTTTCAGGAACTCTTCTCTCAGTCTTATCCCTCTGGAATTAAGCAGAGTGCTCCAATTTACCAGCTAAAAGGGAAACCATTTTCTTCCATGACATTTTTCAGCTCAATACCTTCCAAGTTAGCGTATATTTATTCTTAAAAACACAACCTCCCAAATAACCTCCATCAGCAGTCAGGCTGAATCCTTTATTACTTAAGCACCGAGTAGAAAAGCTTTCATCTGACAGCATATTACATCATGGGAATCAAATGGGGCAACAAGTCAAGTTTAACTGCACAAAGCAGACATGCTTAAATACAGTTCGACACACCAAAAGGGAAGCAAGTAAGAAATTAGTGCGTAAGCCTAGAAAATGGTCAAAGAAACACAGCAGCTTCTCCTACTCTTCAATCCCTTGACTCAAACACACGGTTAATTCCCTACGACCGACTGCTCAGCTTTTACAGACACAGATACATTGCAGAAATCACCCATTCAGTTTCTAGATAACAGTACTGGAGCATAACACAATTGTTGCACTGCATTTCTTAAAGATGGCTTACCACCCTTCTAAAATAAAAATAAGAAAATCAGAAGAGATCACAGAATCAGTGCATATGGAAGAGAAGACATTTTTCAAGCTGTTTTCTAAGCTGAACCACCTTGCAATCACTGGTCTTTCCATATAGACTTTTGCTTTCAAAATAACAGCAGAAACAATTTGGTTGCATACTTTTACAACCCTGTTTATTAAAGTTCAATAAAAAGCCCATGTGCTTGTCACTCAATGTCCTCGGTTTACTCTTGGCATTGCCTTCAGCTGAGACCATTACAAAACTTAATCCGGTCTCACTTTTATCCACACCTGTTTTTTCTTTCAGGGTCTCTGTTTGAGTTGCCCACAGCAGACGACAATTTATTTACTGACCAAACTGTTGCCATGAAAATTTATTTAAAAAAACAAAACCAAAAATAAGTAAAACAACCCTCCCCAAAAGAAAGAAATGATTCTATGGATTTACTGCACAAATTTAGGCCATCCTTGACTCTTTTTTTTTCCACTTAACCTTAGCATTTTCCATCTTGGCTGCCGAATGTGCACATAAGCTGTCCATGCCTCCAAAGGGTGAGTTTTGCCATGTACAACAGAAATAAATGCAAAGGATATATCGTTTTTTTCTGATCACAGAACCTTTGAAAGCGAGGCTACTTTTCTGTACCTTAACTGGCAGAGAAATCACTATTTATTTCGGTACCGATTCCTGAATTATGTACCAAAGTGGCCAGGCTCAAACACCATAGTCCCCAATCCTATACGCTCGTTCATTTGCTCACCTATGCACTGCAACTACTGTGGTTAGGAAACAACAGCATGGGCCAGGTGCAAGGTTCTCGTTTAGGGGCCCGGCGATTAGTCACCCAAAAAAGACCGCGCTGGTACTGCAGACGTTATACAAATGAGTTTCTTGTACAATAATGAGTGCTCCCGTTCCATTTGTCTTGATTAGCAGCTAACTCCTTTCTCCACTGTCTCACTTTGCCCTTAAGTTTTTGAAGGGAGTCTGATACTTCTTTATACACGTTTAAAAAGACAGTGAAAGCGCAGTTCCGCCACATAGCAATGCTGGTAAAGCCATCTTCTGAATATTGAGACATTAAGCCTATTGCCTAGTTAGTCTCACAGCCAGCTCAAGCGTGGCTCTGCAATCCAAGGAAAGAACGTCTAGCCTCTGCGCACTTGCACCTGGCGTCCTTGCACAGGTCTCTCCTTCCTCCCGTTTTCAAAGTACATACCCGCACAGTTTACCTGTCCCGAGACCAGGCAAGCTGCTCATCAACAAAGCCTATAGCTGCTAGTTGCCCCACAGTCAAACTAGGAAGGAATCGTAACAAAAAGGAAAACTCCCCAGATCAAGCAAGCGGCTTCAAGTTCTAGGTAAGATATGTGGGTATCCAACACCGCCCCCGCTCCCTCCACCGCATAACTTGTCTCCCACCTGTCTGATGCCCTTTGGTAGTTTCTTCCTTTTCCCAAGGTGCTGGCAAAGATTACGATCATTTTCTCGATCCGAGCTGTACTGGTGGTGGTGAAGTCTGTTCTTTTTTGGGTGGAATGACAGCCCATTGGTAAGTGCTTCCCGTTTCTTCTTGGCGAGAGGGTTCTGCCGCTTCTCCACGCGTTCCTGAGGCTTCAGTGCTACATCCTTCTGCACATGGGGGGAGGGCAGGAGAATAAAAACAGAACTACTGGTTATTATTGGTACAGACTAAGAAAGATCACGTTTTAATACTGAAAACAAGCTCATTGCCTTTGTGCAGGATTGTTTCTAATAAAATAAACTAGGACAGATGCTTAGGACACAGCATCTTGCTGTCCAGTATGCTACAGAGACGTGCAAGAAGGAAGCCAAATTCATACGACTTAAATTAGTGACTATCCCAACGTCAACTTGCTTTTAGTTAATAGACCCTCCTCCAAATGTTTATTTAAACTGCAGCAGTTACCTCAATTGATAACTAAAACCAGTAAGAGGGTAAAAGTCAAGGCAATCAATGTTCAGTCAATGGTAATGCAAAGAGATGGAGCATTTTGCAATCGTTAGAGAAGGGGATTGAAAGCAGAGACTCAAAGTCTCTTCCTATCCCTGCTATTCACTTAAACTGCTAAAATCCCAGTTTCATCCATCTGTGAAATGGGTGACAAGAATTTCCATGTCCTCCTCTTATATTGGTAGATAATGCTCATTGAGTCACAAGACCAAATTAGGGTGGGTAAATCAGCAGTGCTCCATCCATTTTAGTAACATATGCAAAACCATTATGAGAAATTTGCACCAAGTAAGGCTACAACCCACAGGTTTTAAGCTCGGAAGGAACAACTGAGATCATCTGCAGAACCACCACTCGACAAACAGGGAACTTCATCTAACATGTCAAGCACTGAGCTCAGGAACTTGTGGTTACATGTCGTGGAAATAAATCAGAAAACAATGCAATGCTTCAAAACTATACAGCAATTACGAAGAAATGGACACTGCATCTGTTTTCACCGGAAACATATGGTATTTTACCATTAACATTACCATTTTTCTTAAATTCATCCTTAAAATGACCAGATTACAAAGAGCCCATTATACCAGTCCTTTTATACTTTTACCCAGGGGTTTTGTTGGGTCACAGCCTCACTACGTATGCCTTATAATTGTTTAAAAGGGTCCGGTATACATTCCAAAGCTTTGTGAAGTGGGCAGGAGGGAATTTTAGGAAAAATACTCCCTTAATGACTAGAAAGCTTCTACAGAAACATTCCTGCGCCGAAGGACCTGAATGGAACAATGGCAGAATTCCAAATGCTCATAAAGTGTCTAAAGAGGCAAATACTTCCATTTAGAAATGACTAATTCCTATTAGCATTAATGACTGCCCTTGGATGGACCCAAAATCCCCCAGGACAGAGTGCGCACAGCTGGGTTAACTTTTTATATCATACCCCAAATTCAAGTCTTGCTGAAAGTTGTGTTGAGTTCCATGACTGTTTGGTACTTTCCATATGCAAAGTCCTGGCTACTCCAAGACTTTGGGACAAATGCATGATATAGCCAATGTTTGACAGAGGCAAGCGACTTCTGGGGTTTTTCAGTTGACTGAACAAAACAAATTTTCTGAGAGGGAGAGGAGACAGAGAGAGAGATTCCCCCAAAACAACCACTCTGCTCACAGTTATAAAGAGAAAAGGAAACACCTCCTATACACAGCTTGGAATTACAAATATCTTAAAGCTGATCTTGCATCCCATTTAGTGGACTGGCTTAGGAGAAAATGTATGGGCCTTGGCACAACACAGTTCAAAACCCAAGTTCTTCCAAAACAAATATCTGCTCATCTCTGGCTCTCCCTCTACTGGGTACATAACCAATGGCTGCGGGCAAAACTCTACTGCATTGAAATCAAAGGTAAAAACTCCCACTACTTCCAATAGAACCAGGATTTGGCTGTTAGAAAAGCAAATTATTACTGTTCTCCATCTGCAGAACAGATTGATGCAGGATGCAATTGAGCAAAACAGTGCAGTAAGATGGGAGGGGGGAGGAGAGAGATTAAACGCATGTGAACAGTGCGTTTTGCACCAAGGTAGGATAAAAATTACACAGCCTGTCAGTCCTCATGCTTGAGGGCATAAACTGCTCAGGGATCATTTCCCCCACCCTATACAGCACAGTTCTGCACAAAGGACCAGATATGATATTTATTTATCCTTCTCTCTCCCAAAAGCATCTAAGATACTCCAAACAGATTACATAGATCACTGGCTGAGTTCTGCTACAATAGTTCTTGTGTTCCTATTTTTTAAGCTACCGTGGAGCAGAGAAAGAGACTGAACAGGGTTAAGTTAACAGGGTATGGATGTGCAGTACACCTGGGGCTCCACTCGAGCAGCCTCTCCATGGGCCTCGAACATTTGAACAACAATATTCTATGGTCCCTTCAGACACAGCCATCAGAGGGCAAGGCAGAAAGATGCATACCTCCACCCTTTCCTTGCCATGCTCTCTTCAATTTCTAGACTAAGACCAAGTAAATAAGAAGGACAAGGGAAGCTGGGAGAAAGAATAGCTCCCCTGCTATTCTGCAAAGGGGTGCCCTGTCAACATCACTCATTACCCACTTCAGGGGTTACCACTACTTTAATTCCCTCGAGGGATGTTGAGGAGGAAGAACATTTTGGTCAATTTTGGAAATCTGTTGGGGGGCGGGGACCGAGATGGAGCTGTGAGAGGCTTTAACAGGGGGACATGGGGAGGGGGAGTGGATCCTGCTGCTATGTGCACCCCCAGGGGAGCCATGGGGGGGCGTGTGACCCCCCCCCCAGATCAGTGTGCAGAGCGAGGGTGGGCTTCCATTGCAGGCTGGGGTTGGGGGCAGCTCCAGGCTCTTCCCAGCAGGGTGAGGCGGGGTGGGCCAGGGCTGTGCTAGGGGCAGCTGTGACAGTGCTGGGGTTGGGGAGCCTATTGGGGCTACAGAAATCCCAAAATTCACTGTAGCTCCCCTATAACCCCACCTCACAGCACTGCTGGCGCCCGCCCCAAGTGCAACCTTGGCCCAACCCCCCTGCCAGGAAGAGCCCAGCGCTCCTCCTGGCCCCAGCAGCAGCCCACCCTCGCTCTGCACACAGATCCAGGGGGCACACGCCCCTCATGGTTCCCCCAAGAGGGCACGTAGTGGGCTGCTCCCTGCCCCGGATGGGCAGCACCTGCCCCAGTCCCACTCCCTCCCTCACTGCAGGGGCCTTGATCTGCCCCTACCACCACCCCTTTCTTCCCCACCCCCTCCCCCCAACATACTTACCAGCCGGACATTGCTCTGCAAGCTGCCAGGCTGGCTATGTGCATGCATGCTGCAGCTGCACACATGGCATTTATCAGCGACATTATCAGCCTCATCAGCCAAAAAAGCCAATTGCCGATAATGTCAATTTTCCTTTTATCAGTGTTGATACAATATGGACCGATGTATCGGTGCACCTCTAGTAGACGATATTTCTGTTCTACTTTGAAAAAGCAGATTACACCAACGACACCCTTATTCATGGCCTGTTGGCACCACTATCATAAGAATAATAAACTATGATGACATTACGGTGACAGCTTCTGTACAAGTTCCTAGACAAGATTTAGATAAGATAAAAGAGATTTACTAATACGTAGTGTCAGGTATTATTTTCGACAGGTACATATGGCATTGATTCAAATTACATAGCAGATCCAGTGAACGCTGCATTTCTGTCTTGGTGTTTATCTCCTTCTCGCACACAAACTCTGGCAATATTAAATAAATAATACAAGCATATTACACTTGGTTTAAAACCATCTTATTCAAAAGTATCTTTCATCACTAAGTGCCCTAAGTGTATCAGGAAGGTGCCTCAAAAATGTATAAATATGTAATTACATACAATTCAATACAAAATGTGCATTAATATTTATGAGTGCACCATATAATAAAAAAAAAATCCATTTGTTTTATTTCTATCGGGCACATTAATCAACCCAGTCCCTCTGTGCGTGCCTTAGCAGAGGAGAGCTGCCCATGCTGAATGGACTCCTGCCGTGACATTAGGAAGCAGGCAGCTGCTGAAGTCTGCTGGGTGACAACACAATCATCTCAGCTCCAATTAATATTAAGATTTCTGCCTGGACATAGGAGGTGGGAGAAGGAAAAAAAAAACCCCACTATTGCAGCACATTTCAAGAAACATATTTTTTTCCTAAGGTGGGAAAAATTGAAACAACTGTTTTTTTTTCATAAAATACTAGGGTTCAGAGAAAATGCTAGGGCTGAGCTGATCTTTTAATGCCATTTAGAAAATACGTTCATGCTTGTTCCAACGGGTGTAGTTGGAATCTGAACTCAGATTTACTCATGGATGTGAGAGCCTGAATGTCCTCAACCCCTCACTCTGGAGTCGATAAACAGGGTCTTTTGGAAATTGTGATTTTGCAGATTTTGTGAAATCCGGCGTTGCCCATGAAATGCACAAAAAACAACAAAAAAAAACAACTTACTGAAAATAAAATGTTGGTTCCCCAGAGGGAGCCAGCAGTTCTTAGGGCACTGTGGCAGCCCACCAAGGGTGGGGGCAAAGGGGGAAGGAGTGCTGCCCGCTCAAAGATGGCTGCTACCCCCACCCCTTGCCACTGATTGGTTGGGAGGGCTACTCATCATGTGGCTCTGCCTCCTCTGCCAACCAATGGCAAGGGGTGGTGTCACAACAGACACCCCTTGCAAGCAATCAGTGGTAAGGGGTGGGGCCATATGATAGGCAGCCCTCCCAGACAATTAGTGGTGAGGGGTGGGGCTACCGGAGCCCCTCTGCCAATCAGAGGCATGGGGGGGGGGGCGGTTACTGGACGCACAAAATAGCTGCTGGACCCCACGTTCTGCCCGTGAAAATCGGCAGGCAGCCATCTCGAATGCAGGAGGGCACTACTGATAAGTGCTTTGGACCTGGCAATATTTGCAAGCAAACATGCAGGAGAGGGTACAGAGACAAACAAAACCTACACAAGACAACTGGTTATTCAGAGAGATTTCCAAAAAGTTGGATGTCTAGACTATACAGCTGAGAACCGGAACTACGACAGCGACGCTAGCAGCATGCACTCTGTGTCATTACCTTGTAATCTAACCAAACAAGCACACTAGCAAA